ACGACAAGAATAATGGGGCGCCGTCGCTGCCCAGTCATCAAAATACAATTAGATCCCAGAAAGAAATCTTATTCGGGGGAGGTGTTGGGTCGGCTTCCGGAGAACTTCAACGGAGCCTCCAGAGGCCCAAAAGGAGCCGAAGAGTCCTAGCCAATCAGAGTGTGATGGAACGTTCCAGAATTCCAACGTGGCGTGCTACTATTGGTCGGTAGCATAATGTGTTGTTATCGGATTGGCTGTAAATTGATGTTGATTTAACAGACGCCAAAATCTATAAATACCCATGATTTTCTGTACAAGAATGAACCTTGGAATAAAGTGCTTTCTCTCATTCTTGTGTCTTCTCTCTGGAGTTTAAGTCGCTGTGTAGTTCTAGACTGCGGGTTTCGGAATAGCTTAGGAATCGTATATAGCGTTCAACCTACACGACTTATCAGTGGCGACGGGGATGAAAACTTCAATGAATATTTCCTTGGAGCAATTAGAAGCTTATATGGTGCGTCAAGAAAAGAGGTTTGAAGAGTCCCATATTAGAATCATGGAAACCCTGATGCAGAAATTCTGCCTGTCCGAGAAAAACCCTGCTTCTAGTGAATCTCAAGTATCACACACTGATTCAGTCATTAACGCCATCCATGAATTTAATTTTGATGGTGTAGCAGGTGTAACTTTCGAGTCGTGGTTTAAGAAGTATGAAGATTTGTTTTATATTGATCTTTGCAAACTGGATGATGCTTCAAAAGTCAGAATACTTCTTAGAAAACTTGGGACTATGGAACATGAACGCTATAGCAACTTCATTCTTCCGAAGAACCCACGAGATTTTAGTTTTGATGACACAGTCAACACCCTATCCCAAGTATTCGGAGAACAATCATCTCTCTTAATATCCGTTACCAGTGCTTAAAGTTAACGAAAGAACCAGGAGATGACTGGGTGAAGCATGCAGGAACTGTGAACCGAGAATGTGAGAGATTTAGATTGTCGTCCATGTCTGAAGATCAGTTTAAATGCTTAGTATTTATCTGCAGCCTGCGTTCACCCGAAGATGTCTATATCCGAACCAGAATCCTAAGCAAACTCGAACACTGCCCTAATATGACCCTGCAAGAAGTGACTACTGAGTGCTAAAGGTTAGTAAACTTAAAGCATGATACCTCAATGGTAGAAAACGGTAACTGTTTCCATAACGTCAATGCAGTCAAGAGAAAAGTCTTTCAAGGTTCCAGTACCCAGAATTTCCAAAATAACAGCGACAAACCATCATCTCCATGCTGGGCATGTGGAGGTTGGCACTATAAGAGGTTTTGCCCATATAAAGAACATCGTTGCAGCAAATGTAATCGGAAGGGGCATAAAGAAAACCTCTGCAGGAGAAGAGACTATAGACAACATTCCTTGAAATCTTACTCAAAGAAATACAGATATAGTGCTCCAACCAATAAGATATTGGTATCACATAACACAGCACGAGGTTGCCGCCGAAGAAAGTACGTGACCTTGGATATTAATAAACACCGTACTCGCCTTCAGCTGGACACAGCTTCTGATATTACTTTAATCAGCCCAGAAACGTGGAAGAACATTGGGAGACCCACAGTTTTCCCAACAACACAGCTGGCACACAGTGCATCTGGGGGGAAGTTGAATATTGTTGGAGAAGTGCCATGCACTGTTTCTAAAGGTACGGTAACAACAAATGCAACATTGTATCTTACTAAGAAGCCAGCACTAGACTTAATGGGGTTGGACCTTATAGAAACACTTAAACTAGCAGATCATTCTATCAACAGTATCTGCAGACGAGTAAGTACAGACAACATCCCAGAATGGAATCAGAAAAACGCCATGCTACAAAGACATCAAAACGTGTTTAGAGAAGGATTGGAAGAATGTACGAAAGCCAAAGCACTGTTAACTCTAAAACCTGAAGTTGCTCCCGTTTTTCGACCTAAAAGACCCGTACCCTATGCTGCTCTACCAGTGGTTGAACAAGAACTAGAACGACTTCAGAAACTAGGTGTCATTGAACCAGTGAATTTCTCAGAATGGGCCGCACCGATAGTAGTAGTAAAGAAGATTAATGGTAGCGTCCGTTTATGTGCCGATTACTCAACCGGATTGAATGAAGCCTTAGAAACTCATCAGTATCCATTACCCTTACCTGAAGATCTTTTTGCTAAACTGAACGGAGGTAAGCTTTTTGCAAAGTTGGATTTATCAGAAGCTTATTTACAAATCCCTGTTGCTGACGAGTCTAAAAACCTGCTTACCATAAACACACACAAGGGTCTATTCCGGTATAATCGATTACCCTTTGGAGTCAAGACGGCCCCATCCATATTTCAGCAAATAATGGATACTATGCTACAAGATGTTTCAGGTGCTGCAGCTTACTTAGATGATATAATAATTATGGGAGTAGATAGACTTAGAAAAGAAGCTTGACCACGTGCTGACACGAATAGCCGAATATGGACTGCGACTTCGTCCAGAAAAATGTGACTTCTGTATGCAAAAAGTACGCTACCTTGGGTTTATAATCGATAAAGATGGAAGAAGACCAGATCCGGAGAATACCCAGGCAGTGAAAACTATGCCCAGACCGACGGATGTCCCCACACTACGATCCTTCTTGGGACTAGTTAGCCATTATGGAGCTTTTATTCCAAACCTTCATCAATTACGTGCCCCCCTGAATAACCTTCTGGTGAAGAATGTAAAATGGAGTTGGTCTGTAACTTGCCAAGCCGTTTTCGATGAAATCAAGAAAGTACTAGTCTCGGATCTGCTGCTCACCCATTACGATCCATCCTTACCCATTGTAGTGGCATCAGACGCATCAAACTACGGCATTGGAGCAGTTATTTCTCACATCATGCCAGATGGATCCGAGAAAGCGATATCACATGCGGCTAGATCGTTAACGTCAGCAGAACGTAACTATAGTCAGATCGAGAAGGAAGCATTGTCGATTATCTTCGCTGTCAAGAAATTTCACAAGATGATATTTGGACGTCAGTTCACCCTATTAACTGACCATAAACCATTACTAGCCATCTTTGGGTCGAAGAAAGGTATACCTGTATACACCGCAAACAGACTGCAACGATGGGCAACCACACTTCTGGGTTATGACTTCAAGATCAAGTACCAGCCCACTACTGACTTTGGACAAGCAGACGCTTTATCTAGACTGATCGGTTCACAAGTAAAACAGAAAGAAGACACTTTGGTGGCAGCAATCGAGACTGAAACAGAAGTATATCGAGTTTTGGAAGACGCAGTTGATGGTTTACCGGTTACTTTCAAGGCCATTAAAGAAGCCACGGAAAATGACAAGACTTTAAGAGAGGTTAGTGGTTATCTTCTCACCAAGTGGCCGAACCGTCGTTTTCAAGGAGAAATGCTACAATATTTTCGCCGACGGGACTCACTTATGATGGTCGACTCATGTATTATGTTTGGCGACAGAATTATTGTTCCAAAAGTATTACGCTACAAGGTTCTGAAACAATTCCACAGCGGTCATCCTGGCATCAATAAGATGAAAGCATTGGCTCGAAGCTACGCATACTGGCCTACGATGGATCAAGATATCGAAAACAGATGCCGCAATTGTTCATCGTGCCTACAAGCAGCCAAAAGTCCAAGCAAGTGTGAACCGCAACAATGGGAAAAGCCGAATAGTCCCTGGGAGAGGCTGCATGCAGACTTCGCCGGTTCAATACGAGGAAGAATGTATCTAATCATAGTAGACGCGTTCACAAAATGGCCACAAATCTACGCCATGGTGAATTGCACAGCCGGTGAAACAATCAGCAAATTATCCGACCTGTTTAGCTGCTTTGGAGTTCCGCAGACGTTAGTGACCGATAACGGTTCACAATTCACTGCAGAATCATTCAAGCACTTCTGCAACGTTAATGGCATTGTGCACATACGATCTCCCCCGTATCACCCTCAATCGAATGGCCAGGCAGAGCGCTTCGTGGATACATTGAAGAGAGCACTTCTGAAAGGGGGAGGAGAAGGGACAACCGGGCAGGTGATCGCAAAATTTTTAACATCCTACAGATCCACTCCGAACCCGAATGTTCCAGACGGCAAATCTCCCGCGGAAGCCATGTTTGGGAGGCGCATTCGAACCATCTTCGATGCCATGTTGCCATCCAAATTAGTGGATGAGCGCAGTCACGGTCCAAGTATCCGAAACTTCAGTGTTGGCGACAAAGTTTACATCAAGTCCTACATCGGGAAGAACCGATGGGAGCCGGGCGAAGTAGTGAAAAAACTGGGAAGAGTACTGTACAGAGTTCGAGGAGCTTTTGGGACATGTATACGTCATACAAATCAAATCCTTAAGGACAAAAGAACGGTGCAGACTCGAAGTAACCGGCCGATTTTCCCGTTAGATTCAATCTTAGACGCACCAACGCCACAAACGCCCAGGAACAGTGAAAAGAAGCCTTGGACAAGGGAAACGACAAGAATAATGGGGCGCCGTCGCTGCCCAGTCGTCAAAATACAATTAGATCCCAGAAAGAAATCTTATTCGGGGGAGGTGTTGGGTCGGCTTCTGGAGAACTTCAACGGAGCCTCCAGAGGCCCAAAAGGAGCCGAAGAGTCCTAGCCAATCAGAGTGTGATGGAACGTTCCAGAATTCCAACGTGGCGTGCTACTATTGGTCGGTAGCATAATGTGTTGTTATCGGATTGGCTGTAAATTGATGTTGATTTAACAGACGCCAAAATCTATAAATACCCATGATTTTCTGTACAAGAATGAACCTCGGAATAAAGTGCTTTCTCTCATTCTTGTGTCTTCTCTCTGGAGTTTAAGTCGCTGTGTAGTTCTAGACTGCGGGTTTCGGAATAGCTTAGGAATCGTATATAGCGTTCAACCTACACGACTTATCAGAAACAAAAAAAATCTGACTAGTAATTGAACAATATGTTTACAGACTATAAAGTTATAAGTGAAATAGTTTTTACACTAACCTTTCAAACCGGACAAACCACCAGTACGTGATTCAATTAGTTTATCATTCATTTCAACTATACTATTGACTTTATCACTTAGTTGTAAAGCAAGAGCCTGAAGACGTGAACGTTCTGTCTTATGCATTATTAATGCATCACTAGGAACTTCCAAAGAGGCCTATGAATAATAATAATAATAAACAAGAGTTTAAGAAGTGGAATACTGCCACAAAATTAACAAAAACAAAGAAATCATTTTAAATAAAATACATGTATCGAAGTTATCCAACGATAATATTATAGTCTTCTTCTACGACATAATAATCTTGGATACTTCAATTCAATTAACCAGTCTCAAAACAAAAATACGAATTAAAAAGAAACGTTAACATAATTCAATTTAGTTAATCAGTTATATTTCAATTAGAATGATTGTAATTTATGAATGCAGTCATTGTCACTAATTAAAATAACGAACTTCATACTCAATAAATCGGTAGTTGTGAAAATTTATTGAAAGTTAATGAACAAAAGTTCATTTTAAATGTCATTTTCAATAATCAAGAGAATCTAAAAACAGACACTCTTAGTTCTGGTTATCATCAAATAAATATCACTTCAGAAAACATGATAAAATGTAATTTCAGATATCAGTAATTGTTGGATATGAATTGTTCAAGTTATACACCCTCACCCATTTATCTATTAATGATGTTACAATAGATGAATATGTCAAACTAAATTTTTCTTCATTATATCCAAAATATAAATGTTACAAAAAAAATGATGACAACAATCTCAACCAATCAAAATATCATATAGAGTAAGCATTAACTACTATACATATCATTTACTTAGTTTCAGTATAGTTGAGATTGTACAAGGCTATAAAGGATTTTCTTCAGTAATTGTAGTAGTATAAAAAATGAGACTTTGCTAATAAAATATGAAATATCTATGTATTGTTTGTTTATTTTAATTTCTACATATTGTCGTTTCTACGTACAGGTGAAATAGAGTTCACACAAATATATATAATCTTTTGGTTATTTTACATACACTGTATGGAAGATCATTTATATTTTCTTTATTGAAGCAACTAATTATGTAAAACAGAAAAAGCATATATGCTTTTCTCTATATTCAATAAACTGTAAAGTATGAAATTCTACAAAAAATAAATTATCAGAAGGGGTTTTGTGGAGATTTTAGAAATTTTATAGGTGAATTCATGAGTCGATTAGAGATAGACCACCAAGCAAAACCTATTGTGGGACTCCTCATCAGTGAGCATCCACGATCCCGCCTCGCGAGATTTGAACCCAGGACTTATCAGTCTCGTGCGCGAACGCTTAACCTCTAGACCACTGAGCCAGCATCCAACAGTGTTAATGTCTAACTTCAACCAATCCACGAAATTGAGCCACCGTCTACCACTGTCTTCAGAGAGTTACTGATAGGTCTTGGGTTCGAATCTCGCGGGGCGGTATTGTGAACATGCACTGCTGAGGAGTCCCATACTAGGACGAAACGGCCGTCCAGTGATTCCAGGCTTTCCATGATGGCATAGCTTCAATTGACTCATGAATTCAATTGCAAAAAATAAATTGTCAACTCCATAAAAATAAATTTAGGTGTTTATTACTAATTGCAAGGATTTCTTTATTCGACCTGATGGGATATATACAAAGGCTGAGATTTGAATAATTCACTATAGGTATATTTATTAGGTCAGTTTGGGTGATGAAAACTATCAATTTATACAGCGAATATCAAATTTTATTATGAATCCTTTGCAATATAGTCTTCTTGAAAGAATTTTTAGATGATATCCTCAAAACTCCATATGTTCACAGAGAGCGATTAGTTTATCCTTTAAAATATTGACAATAGGACGCTAAATATCATCATAGCTAATATTAAATATCGTGCCCGTTGAACAAGTGCATATACTGACCCAATATTCTGGTGTACAACATACTGTAGAGTTTGAAGATATGTACACTAGTTTCGAGTTTCAGTGACAGCGGAAACACTAAGATGTAGGCACGTCCAGCTAATGAATTCCAAACAGAGTGTAAGATACGAAATGAATTTCACTATTATGTTAAGTAAAATAATTTGAAATTTGAGTAACAATTTACTTGCCACTTTACATACATGTTTTATGTTAACGCCAAACCTGCAGCCCGAGTTCCCGGTCAATTATTGACAAATTATTCGATAAAATTTGATCAACAACGGAAGAACTAGGAAGTGACATGATATTGACCATTAACTACTGAATGATCAATCAATTGTAAATGTTTCAGTACTACATATGAGTCGTATTTGGAAAAACTCAGTAATAACTTCTCAGACTGTGAAGCTGGGTGACACGAACTTTTCTGCCGACTCTCATCAACTATCTAGCACCAAAATGTGTTGTAGGTGATGTCATCCAGACTGGTAACCACTATGTATTTTAGTCAACAGTACTCAATTAACACTAAGGATTAGACGACAAACATCATATTGTTGATTAAAGAGTGATCAAACGATATAAGACAGAAATGGCATAGTGTCTAGCAGCGAAATCCAGGACCTGTGTTTCATCCTATCTGGGTTTCCTCAGCTAGATATACCAATTATTGTACCAATAGGAAATTCCAACTAATTAATATATACTAATTAAAATTCATCACGTTACACAAGCCAGTGGCTGTCTGGACTCAGTAATCCGATTATGTTTGAAGCGAAGGGTACTGGGTTCGAGTGAACATCAACTCTCCGGATCTACGTACATCCAGCTGATGAGTTTCAAATAAAACGAAATGCTCGTACTGCATTACACTGCTAGCCACTATCTATTTCTGATTCAAATACTTATGACCTACTAAAAATATCGAGGCAATCTGCATAGGATGCATATATGCCAAAAAAAGACTGAATAATTCCAATCCTAAACATTAATGAGAAGTTTCGAACAGCCAATACAAATGAATTAAAATTGAATAATATAAAAGTTTATTTGTATTACAATCAGTTGAACCACTTATTTAATTAAATCAACGCTATTTTTTTAAGCATTGAAAAGCCATATATCACCGTTAATCACTACTTAAAACGTGAATAAACTTAAAGAAAAAGGAAGTTAACAAAAACATTCTCTGAGGACATAAATGACAATCAACTCTTTCTTGTTACTGAACTTTGAATTTTAGTTATTCATAAGCAAAATAATAATAATAGTAATAGTAATACTACTAATAGTACTAATAATAGTAGTTAGTAACTTACAGCTAATTCTTGATTGATGATCATTCGACAAATAACTGAATAAATTACAGATTTCGGTAATTCAAAACACACAGATAAACGATCTAATGTCATTGAATCATGTATTGCACTAAAAGTGAATAAAAAACTGCGTAATGATTCTTCTTTAATTTTAATTTCTAAATTCTGTTTTACTTTATTCGATTCAAATAATAAATCCCAAATCTAAAAGAAACAAATTTTTATATAAAATTAAAGGTTATTTTATATAAATTAAAATGATAATTAATATAAGTATTATAATTAGAAATAGTTTAAATTATCCAGTTGTTAACATTCTTAAGTGAATTTTATATCCGTCTTTGTTGACATATGTAAGTTTTATAAGGATAATCACGTTGATATTAGCCATTTTATTCTAAGATTAAGAGAAAAAATTGATTATGACTAGCAATGGAATTCACGATGTGCACTTCATCTCATTTAGGATTCAGCAGCTCGATATGTTTTTGTCCCAGTAATGCTGATACCAGCAAAGATTAACTTAAATTTAGTAAGGAAGACAGACAATGGAATAATTTAAATTCTTTATAATAAGAATATAAACATCGAATTCATCAGATAAGTTAGTGACTATATGGATTTAAAAGCTTAGAAGATAACAAGTCGGGCGTTTGAAGCAAAATGTATGGAGTTGGAGATTCGGTGTGAACATCAGCATCAAGACACAGGTACATCTACCTGAGTCTGAAATAGAACAAAATTAGTGTCCTGGATTCCATTACAAGCCACAATCCATCTATTTCATAAGAAAGACAATCACACACTTTGATCATATGTTTACTAGTAACTGGGTTTGGGATGAACTCATGAAGGTCTAGTAAACCTTGTAGAAGCTAATGAAATGCTGAACATGAACAGATATCACCGATGAGAACAGATGATGATGTACACATAACAATATGAATTGGTCGAAGTCAGAAATGTGAACTAGATGATGTTAACTAAATGATCTGAAGGTTGTGAATTAATCGGATCTCATTTCTGGGGATGTGGTCACTTGTTTCCAGAGTATTATTTTTCCTGAGTGGTTCTACTGACAAAGAGTTTCTAATAAGATTTCAGAAAGTGGCAACATTTGCATAGATCCTTTTCCCCATATCAAATTAATTATTACGATTTTGCACTTTTAGGAGTTATTAAGACCACGTAAAATAACAAATGCCTAATTCTATAAGTTATAGTCTAAATCGAGTATGATACTAGTTCAATATATAAATAATAATAAAAGCACAGTCACTGTACTTTCCACAAGATCGTTTACTTAAAATCTCTGCCAATGATAAGAGTAACCAAATATACACTGAGTTCTACAGGTATTTCAGTGGATCTCTTAACGGATATTTCGTAAATTAGCCAGCATTCATAAAAGGATTAATCCACCCAAAAAATCATACTGAATTTTTAATATTGTTACAAAATCTATATTTCCAAAGAAACTTGTGCAAATAGTTGAAGGATTTTGTTTGATGTGAGATCGGTCATTTTTATTTGATTAAAAACTTAGATGATGATACACAATAAGTCCGGCTGAATAAAACTGACGTGAATACAGAAATGAAAAAGCTAATACGAACAACGGAAGCTACTTGTAGGAACATTATTTCAGTTATATCAAAGTTTGTAAAACGCTAACGTTTAGTTTTGTCCGTGGCCTATACCATAAACCATAGGATTTTGTTTGATGCATGGTTCATAGCCATACTCTTTTGTTATTTTGAAGTTATTGATTTAAAAGAAACCTTTTGTATTCCGTTTTTTTACCCTAGTGCTTAGTTTAGATATAATTGTATTTTTTCCAACTGTTTTTGCGTTGGGGTTGTGTTAGCCATTTATTTATTCATGTTTCTTTGTGTTAACTTGATTTAGGAATAAATCGAAGTGTTCCAGGTGACTCGTCTTCCTTCTCGCGCACTTGTCGACTAATCAGGTGATATGACAGTTCTCGTCTCTCTGCCCCAAGTCCGTTTAGTCTTAATTCAGACACATGCGTCACTAGCCTCGAGGTTGAACTAGATAGTGTAATGTGTCGGTCTTAAACTAGATCGAGACAAGTTCACTTCAGTATATTATTAGGCAGACAGATCAAAGATGTAAAAAAAATCTTACGAAATACCGAGGATTAAACATTTCGTCAGTCACGAAATCCGCTTACTTTAGCGTCCATTTTGGGATTAATGATAAAATTAGTACAAGCTTTCCAATTTCCATAACGCATAGCTTTAGCAGCAGCTAGAACATGGTCTCTTGGTGTTTCAGGTGGTCCAACTAATGCAGCACGATCATGAACGCGTAAGGCAAGATGAAACGGTTTGCTGATAGGACGCCAACGTAAATCCGTTTCATGAGCTCAAAAAAGTAACAAACAAAAATATCAACACAATTTGCATGCATATTTTATTTTTAAACGCATATGCTGAGTGAAAAAATATTAAAAATATGTGTTATGTACAGTTAGTTACCTGCTAAATTTGGAATTTCCAAAAGCATTGCGGATACCAGATAGACACATTCTATTAGATCAATATTTATATACATATGATATGGCATCTGCAAGGCTTGTTCACGCTTCTCTTCCTCAGTAGTTTTCTCATATCTAGACTGAGTATGAAGACCTTGAGCAAGTAGTTCCCGAATACGATTAGATCCTATCATATCGGCTAAAGCATTATGTGCATCACGAATATGGGACTGACGGAAAGCGCATAAGCCTAATTGAACCATGGCACGGTTATACAGAATCTAAAACAGAGCATTAAACACTTCACTACCAGTATTGATTAAAAATTAATGATTTGTTAAAATATACATACAGATAGGATATACTATTATGTACCGAACTACTGTAGAAAGAACCGACTAGAAATCTTAATGAGGACAATGGTTATTTTTTATTCTAATTATCAATAAGTGAACGGAAATGTAATTATTGAATAAGTTCATCGGATTCTGCTGTTGTTAATATGGATGATAAAATAGTGGAAAATAAATCAGTATTTATGGAATTATTCGATGTACCTTGAGGATAGGCCAAATAACCAATACGGTTTCATATGGAATAGTTTAGAATTCATCATATGATTCAACGTTTTAAAACAAATTGAAAAATCTTTTTTAACCAGTAGACCTAGACGATTAAATAATTATCAACTGAACAGCTAACTTCTGGATTGATAGATTTCTCAGTCGTATGTCGATATACTAAACTGTTGACCAGTATACTTGATATAGTTGTCCGGGAAGTTAGATCCCCAGAACTCACTTGGAAAGGGACCTAATTTTGTAATTTTACTTAGAAAATTTGAATTTCCTTGTTTTCGCGCCGAAAACGCTCTTTACACCTTCATGTCGTATTTCCCACTTGGGAGAATCCTAAATGCTATTGGTCCGTTGTGTCTTTTAGTATGCTATTTTGTAACTCTCTCCAAGGACGGTTTTGTGCTGTATATATACGTTTTGATTTGTGTTCGTTGTGATCGCTCGTTTCTGGCTGTTTGCGGAATATACTTCCCCATTCTAAACTTGAACTTCTTCCTCTGGTTAGCGGGGTTGGGACGCATCGAATAGCTTTTTGGTCTTTGGTCACCGAGTCTTTGTTCCGTTCGCAGTCTAAGTGAACTCGTAACCGCTTCAAACTTAGCAACAGTGAACCGCAGTCAAAAATCGTCAAATAATAATTCCATGCAACGGCTTTCTTTTCCAATGGATAAAAAATAAACCGCTTATTTGATTACTTTCCCAAGGGACAGATACGTTCACAGATAAGTGAGTGTATATACAATCGATTTGATCCAGTCAAATAAACTCTAGTTCTTACTCTCTGTCTTTTCTCCCAAATAGGCAGATTCATACATAGAAAGATGCCGAACACCGTGTCACAAAAAAACCACCCTTTATATAGTAGTTATATCGAACAACAGACTTCATTAGATAGTCTCAGTATAGGCTGTACACTTATGAGATGAAAGATATTCAACATAACATATTTACTAAAGCCTAATTCAATTACAGAGTATTTTAAGCACGTATGGTGACTGAGATTGTTTAACAATTTTCTCAATTATAATACATGTTCCGCTGACATTACAAAACCAATAGTAAATGTAAATGTTAAGCATTTTAAAAAGAACTTACCATGGTTGACTGATCAGCATGTTCAATTGACATTTGCAAATCAGACATAAGCATCAAGTCACGAGCTTTGAACCATTGATTATAAAGAGCTAAATGATAAATATGACAGAGAATAGCTCTAGTACGTAGTCTATCTGTTCGATCATTTAAATAAATAAATTCGCATAGTTTTTGAATAACCAAAGTGTTAGGATGAAGTCCAACTTCTTCCATACTGGAAGCTTCCACTTTGCGACCCCATTCAAAATCAAACTGTAACAACAACAAAAACAACAGTATCGAGTCAGAAATAAAATACAGGACAGGAAACTAAATACACTACTAACACAAAGAGTGAAATTAGCCTACTATAACCGTATGAGAAGCTAGCTCCTATAATTTCGTTACTTTCCTGTACTTCATTGACGAGTTATCAACTAAATGTTCTACTAATGGTTAATAAACTTGTTCTCTGTCCCATTACATTGAACTAGTCATTTATATGCTCTTTTACAGTGAGACTTCCTTGTTATTATTGACTTTATCACCTTGAATGAGAAGCTCTTTTAACCTAAGCTAATTATCACTAATCGTGGAACCATTATATATATATATATATATATATATATATATATATATATATATATATATATATATATATATATATATATATATATTACTTACGCACGCCTGTTACCCCTTGTGGAGGAGCATAGGCCGCCCACCAGCACTCTCCATCCAACCATGTCCTGGACGTTTCTTTTCATGTCTGCTTCCAATTCTCGGCGCAGTGTTTTTCGGCCTTCCTCTTTTCCGTTTCCTTTCAGCATCCTAAATAAGCGCGTGCATCGTGGTGCAGTTTGGTGATTTCTGCAATGTATGTGTTATCCACTTCCAACGTATTTTATGGCTGCGAAACGCGGCCATTATCATCTAATAATGAGGTTAGACGCATGGTATTAGGGAATGATGGTAAATCAGTTAATGAGGTTGTGAATCTTCATCGACTGAGATGGTTGGGTCACGTGTTGCGTATGCCTGAACACCGATTGCCACGACATGCAATGCTAACCGGTGTTGGGGATGGTTGGAAGAAAGTTAGGGGCAGACAAACCAAAACGTGGCATCAGTCATTGAAGTTACTAACTTTCAGTCTTAGCCAGGTTGGTGGATGCAGATTACTTGGTTGGGGTCCGCAGGACTATCGTAACCAATGGTTGCAGACTATGGATAACATGGCTCAGAAATGATCACAATGACGTTGGTGTTTACACTCTTAGTCTTCCCTTAAATCGTGAGATTAAAATTCCCTTAGATCTTTTTTTCTACAGACTAATTCATCTTTCCTGTACTATATCCTTATATGCAATCCTTCTTTCATATATTACCACCATTGAATTAACTACTTCTATGAATTCGGTGTTCATCTAATTGTGCTAATGAGGTATGGCAACTTGGACCGATGCATGTATGTGCTTGGTCATACGTTGTAGCTGACTGACTGATTGAACGTCTTTTCCTTATTTTCTCCTCATCTGGAAGCTGGTTTGTCCTCTCCCATACTAGGCTGTTGCTGATGCTATCCGGTCAACGGATATTGAGTATCTTGCGTAGACAACTGTTTATAAATATTTGTACATGTTTGATAATGGTGGTAGTAGTTCTCCACGTTTCTGCTTTGATGTTCTTATTGAAGATTATGACTTTTATGTTGGCTGACAGTTTTTAGTTCCATATGTTCTTCAACTATAGGAATGTTGTCCTTGCTCTTCCAATCATCGCCTATACGTCTCCATCAGATCCTCCATGGTCATCGGAGATACTACCCAGATACGTGAAACTTTCCCCCCTTCCAGAGTTTCTCCATCAAGTGTGATTGCGTTGGTGTTCTCTATGTTATATTTGAGGATCTTGCTTTTTCCTTTGTGTATGTTGAGGCCTACTTCTGTAGAGGCTACTGATACTAGTGGTCTTCAGCAGCATTTGTTCGCGTGTATGGGATAGAAGGATCAGGTCATCTGCGAAGTCCGAATCTTCTAGTTGATTCCGAGATGTCCATTGTATTCTGTGCTTCCTGTCAGATGTCGAGATTTTCATAATCCAGCCGACCACCAGAAGAGGTAGCAGGAGAGTTAACAGACTTGTCTGACTCCGGTCTTCACTAGGAATAAATCTGTCAACTGTTCTCCAAGCACGAATTTGCAGTGTAGTACGTCGTATAAATTCCAGGTGTTGACGCTTTTCTCAGGTACATCATAGTGTCGAAGAATGTTCCACAAGGTCCTACTGTCCACGCTGTCAAAAGCCTTCCCATAGTCAATGAAGTTGATGTATATTGTTGAGTTCCACTCAACTGATTGTTGAACGATGATCCATAGCGTCGTAATTTGATCTGTGCACGACCGATCATTACGGAGTCCAGCCTGTTGATCTCGAAGTTTGGCGTCTAATGAGTCTTTCATCCGATTCAGCAACACTGTTGAAAACCTTTCCTGGTACTGACAGTAAGGTGATGCCTCGGTAGTTTTCACATTTGCTCAAATCTCCTTTCTTTGGCATCTTGATGAGGTGTTCTTCATTCCAGTCTGTCTGTGGCACTTGCTCTTCTTCCCAAATCTTCCTGAATAGAACGAGAAGCATACATGCAGTTGCTTCTATGTTTGACTTCAGTGCTTCAGCTAGTATGTTGTCAGATTTGGTCTCTTTCCTGCTCTTGATCTGTCTGATGGCCATCCCGATTTCTTACGTCTTTGGTGGAGGTCTGTAGGTGCTGCTTCAATGTCCGGTTGGTTTAATGGAGGCAGGTATATTCAGAACTCCCTCGAAATATTCCGTCAATCTGTTCGTCTGTTCTTGATATATATACTAGAAGTCAAGCGAATCTTCTGACTTTATTCAACATAGCGTGCCTTATACCAGTTTCAAGATTTACCGAAACAACGGATGCGAGAATTGATTAAGTCAGAAAACTATCCATGACTCTCGTAATATTTATAGATGAAAATATATGAATAACAGGTGACTTTACAACAAATAATTAATCTTTAGGTATCAATACCAAGGTTTGAAAGTTGATAAATTCAAATGAATTAAGCATCAAATAGAAAGTTAATGGTAAAATAACGATATATTTGTGATATCACATTGAGTAGAAATTCGAATTTTTGAAAACTCGTGACTTAATGTAACCCATTTCTTTAGGGTGAGTAAATAAATAACCGAATTAAATTAATACAAGTTTAAATAGTACAAACGAAAAAGGCTGAATATTCAATGCAATCAAAATAAAAAAATAATCCATCTGTGTTGAAGTCACATTACAAATAGTGAATACAATAGCAACAGCATTCAAGTCCCAACGTGTAACAACACAAAAATTACCGATTTAACATGACCGACTATGTAATCTGCCAATAAGTAAACAGTTTGTTTAACCGATGAAACACAAAGCGAATAAATTCTAGTTACTGGCAAGTAGTATAGTTATAACAAGCCAGTTTTCTACCAGTGAATCTACGTAAGGGTTGCTAATCTACATACTACAGATCATGTTAGTTAACAACGATCGCCCAATCAAGATTATTTGTAGTAAACAAAGCAACAAAAGGCAGTTTGAATCTACAAAAGTTCGAATTTAATCTTTAGTAGTGAAAAAAAGTACTTATCCTCACTTTATAGTACATGTGTTCCAGTTTATGAAGATAAGCAGCACAGAGTGCATCTGAAGGATATTCTTTCTTTTCCAGATAGGCACACAAACGATCAATAATATTACAGACTCTTCGTTCATCTCGAAGTCTATACAATTTAAAATACAAAGAAAGGACAACGATAATACTTTATTACGAATGCGAAAAAATTCAAGAATAAAGGATAGAATTATAGCACAAATACCTGAACAATAAATTTGATAAATGAAATTAGGAATATTAATAACAGACAAATCGTATTGTTGCATCATATTGTTATGACAATGAAGCGGTAGGTTCAATCCATTATTTTAGTGGTTGTCAAAATTCTCTTTTTAAGTTTTTTGACATATGTTTATCCTGTGATATTTGTCAAGTGAACAATCTTTTGTATTTCCACTTTAAAATTAAGCTCGAAGAAAGCTAGAGGAATCACAACATGGAATCGGTTCATGAAGATATTGGCTGTTGGACTGAGCCATGTACATATAGATCTAGAATACCCGGTCGGAGTCCACTTGATTATAGTAGCCAATGGTTGGAGACCTTGAATAACATGGTTAGAAATCGTTTGCAGTGGTGCAGGTCCATTCACCCTTTATCTACCGCCTAAGAACTAAGTCCTGAAATCCACTTAAATCTATTTTTATCATCTTTTTCACTACCACTGATACAGTTAATACTTCGATTACCTTGGGATTACTCTTAATAATAATATTTTGCTGTGCTAATATAGGATGGGGACTTGAACCGATCCGCATCGGTTAAATTCTATTTCGTGCATGACTGATTGATTTCCACCTTATACGCTACCTTAACTTATGTCACCCCTTGAATACTACATAACCTTCGAAAACGTTTTCCGACTAGATTTTAGTATCTTTGTTTGTAATGTAACAATATTCCAATTTATTACAGACTATGTAATGTGTAAATTAACCGAATACAGTTTTCTCGAGTGCTGTTAGAGGTATGAGGGTGGTTTTTACGTCCCGGTTGCTCACACCGTGGAAGGATTCTTCTAGAGGTACCTGAAAGGTAAATTGGGTTAGAGGTGGTCTTGGCGACCTGAGATTGCAACCGCAGTGCCCAGACGAACACTGCCTGAGGTCTGTCACACACGACTTTTCTGTGGGTAATTTTTGTGTTGGCTCCGTACTTGTCGGGACCTTACCGACGGAGAAGGAAATTCGGAGTCGACCTTTCCTAACTCCACCCTTCCTTGTACGAAGGCAGTATCTCTGTTATGCTGGTTGTTTGAGGAAAAAAATCTATTGCCATCACACCTCTGTACTGTCAGCAGTACGACTTCACCCTCGGACCTTGGGTACTGTTGCACGGTTTTTAAAACATGACGCGAAAAACAAGTAATTTACTACGCTAAACTAAAAGTATAGACAATAAGATTATGTATAGTATTCAAAATTGAACATTTATAAAATAATTCGTTGTCAATAGAATAATATATTAAAATACTGTGAAACACTGCTCCTAGACTATTTAAGAATTTAAAAATTACCATTCAGAAATTTTATCAAATTCTATTTCTTCATCCAGTTTGTACATTTTAATTTTAAATAGACATTAATCGTTGTAAGAAGGGAAAGTCGTCATCGTCCTAGCCTGTGCTCCATGTGATAGCGAAGATTTTAATTAATCAGGGAGTGAGTGACCTACAAAAATAATATTGTCCGGTCACGTTTGTGACAACTGGTCAGTTTCTGTTAACATCTTATGTATAGGGATACTGTGGTGCGTGCTACTTATATTGATATAAGTAGTATATTATGCGAGTCAGGAATGTAATGTCTGGCAGCAGAAGATGAGGGAAGATCAAGAAAGCAAGAGCGGGAATATAATGCAATTTGTATGAAAATGTAAGAACAATGAAGTCTGAGGCATTTTGAGACAATTGGTGGACATTCGGTTGTCCCCACCTGTGTTTTGTTCACTACAACACAAAGAAATGGTCTGAGAATAAATACAAATACATTTATTTACTAAACTAAGTAGTCTGTCACATAGGTGTGAAAATCAGATCGATAGAGTGAATATAAAAGTAACTAAAAATAAAAAATACACTGAAAAACCAATCACTTGACGTCATCAAATTACTTTAAAAAACTGTGACTGGTGTAAATGAATACAGTATAATAAACATTTCCTAAGATAATTATTAGTTAACCTGAATTTATAACTTGTTTGCGAACTGTTGAAAAGAGAGAAAATTGAATTACCTTTCAACATATTCTGATTCATGGCCGTTGGCATTTTGCAGAACTTTGAAACATTCAACATCTAAAAGACCCACCACAGTCAGAATAGATGCTTTGATACGGTACGGTTCATGCTATTATTTTTGAGGGATTAAGAAAAATAATAACAATCGAATTCATGTAATGAAATCATTTCAGAGTTTTCGTCGCAGAATGAATATTTTATTCGGTACCATTAAAAACTTTATCTTAGGCTAGGTCACGAATTCGGAAATCATAACATTCATAGTTTTAAGCACTACACGAATTTAGATTCGAGTTAGAATTATATGATTCACACTAATTCAAAATGTAACCAATTTCAGCTGTAGCTTGTGTGAAATCGACATCGTTGGGACTCGGATAGATATTGATTAGTATCAATGGATGATGATGGCAGTGTACATAAAAGTAACTGTAGCTTAAAAATGTGGATCAATAAACTTTAAAATTGCGAGATGTTGTAAATCTGAAAGGTCCTCCGTTCAGTCTTGTGTGTGAAAGTGTTTGTTACTGAAAAGTCCCAAAGTATGACGAAGAAGTATAGTACTTCGCTGTTTTCGATAGTTTCTTAGCTAGTATCAGTGTATAATGGTGGCGCAGTGGGGCTAGGATGTTGGTTTTTAGCCAACAAGTCACCATTTCGAACACAGCTCTATATACCTTGATTAGAACAACCAGGTAGTATCGCTAGCCCAACATTTAGAGCGTAGCTCAAAGCCAAATATATGAATCTGTACCTGTACCCTGTAACAATTTTTTAAATTTAAAACGGTCTAACGAATACGAAGTTAAATTACCCTCATTTACTTTGATTAATATACTTAGCAATACTGTATTCTAATTTCTCATAAATTTACCCATCCTAAAGTTCAATAAGAGAATCTCTAAAGCAGAGCTACATCGTATGAACAAAAAATTGTCGGTATAATTTTAACTGATTCAGTCAATGTTTCTAAAAAGCAATTCAGAAGAGACGGGTCAGTTTATTACATGACACAATGGTGTGAAAATGCGCTATATAGAACTTTATCTATTAGTCCATCAAGACTCCTTGATTGGGGTCCCAGAAATGGCGAAACTTAGTGGCTAGAGATTTTGCCAGACAAGGCTCAGAATGGAAGCCAATGGCAGTCCTGTTGTGATTTTCCAGTACTTTCTTCATAAAAGCGATATGAATTTACCTGAACGAAAAGAACAGTCCTTCTTGGTTGTATTTTAAACTTGTAGGAAGTAATTACCTAGACTATTGAACGCAGAGTCTTAGCTTGGCCAAAGTCAAAACAAGTTTGATAAACTTCATCCGTTAAGAACAATAACTGCAGCACAGAAAAAAAGTGATTCAACAAAAATTAATATCGTTTATGACAAACATGGGAGATTGTGATCGGTGACTAAACAATGCATAGTCATACAAGGTCGAACAGAGTCAAGGTGGTAGTGGGCATTTAACTCTGCCATTATTGGTTAATTTGTTTATCGATCACCCCTTACAAAACTGAACAATATTTTCTATATAATGATTATCGTTAATTTTATTTTTTTTATTTTTGGTTGTAATTCCCTCCTGTTTTTACCTTATTTCTTTACAATTTCATATCCTTATTTGTTTGGCGCATAATAGATTTTGGGGTATTAAATAAAAAAATTCCAGAAAAAAATCGACTTTCATATTAGAACTTTAAAGTTTAGATGTTGCAAATACAATTAAACAAAATACATTAAAACGTACCTCAAATGATTCATCATCATTAGAATCTAATGCAATTAATTGAATATTTACTTCATTTAACAGATCAAATAAACGATCGAATGCATTAAGAGTTCTAAAAATCAGAAGAAAAGTAGGCGTATATGAACAAACAAGGAATGAAGACAATTAGTTTGTTCAAATTATTGTTGGTTATTTAACCAACACAGTTTTATAAACAGGGAAGGGAATCTACCTTTACATAATGACGACATTCAAGAATCGGCACACAAATAACTTGGATTTGCTTGATAGTCTATTAATGATAGGAGTCTTTAGGAATGTCTCTCAAACTATTGTTAGTCAGTATTTAAAAGATACTAAACTTATTGCGGAAAACAGAAAATTAGCAGTCGGGTTAATCAGTTCTGTTCAAAATCCTTAAGTTACAAATTCTGTTAAATTCATCATAATCTAGCTTGTTGGTTTGGATATGTCAAGTGGAAATGATTTGTGATTGGTTATTGGGCAGACAAACAAGAACTAAGCATACAGCCTATTGTTAAAAGACGTATTTCACTGTATGGTGCTATACTTTACTCCGGATTTTACAATGTATTAATATAGTTATTTCAGCTCATGATGTCTTGTTTTCAGTGGCTAATCGCAATTGTGTATCTGTGTATCACACAATCCGGTGTAGAAGTCTTGTAGAGCAAACCATTGGGCAGAAAGTACGACTATTTAGTGAAACTACAAAATGTTGGTGCAATATGTACACCTAGTTATCAGTCATCCCTTTGAATCATGTTGTGTATTTTGTAATCTAAGTTGGTTTTTAGACTGTCTTTTTTCCTTTCGCTTCCGAACTAATTATTCTGCATACGCCGTGCTTTTTGATCTCCTAGAACTCTTCACTTCGGCCGTCAACTGTAGCAACCTCCACGCGACTTTCCGCTGCATATTACGCATAAACAATTTTCTAAGTAGCCTTCACTGTAGTCTAATTGTCTAGTGCATCAAGTCGTAGTATCCCGCATGGCGTATCGATCAATTGACTAATTTACTATGTAGTCTGGTGTTATTGTATTACCGTGTTACACAACAGATTTTTAGGTGAAATAATCTTAAGTAACAAATTTCTAGTATCAATACTTTTTAACAGTTGAAGTAAAAGGTTTCTAACGAACAAATTTTGGATTTGACCTTAATCATTCATTTACTTTGCTGTGAGCAGCTGAATAGTGACAAATTATGAACTTTCACAAAATGCGCAGATGAAAGAGCTGAATAAATTAGCTTGTACTTAGTAATCAATTTATAGTTGTATTATAAACCCATAAAAACTATTCAAATAGCGTCTTTATCTTATTGTGCTAACAAAAAATAGACTGAAAGCATACCGATCAAATAAGCTGGAGTTCATACAATCATGTTTTTTGTCATAATCGAACAATACGCTAATAAAAGCGAATAGTACTTTAGCGTGTAAACCGTGAGATAGATTACACTCCTCTGCAAAGTAAGCAAATGAAAAGAAATATGGAGAAAAGTGGTTTTAACATGAAAAAAAGCGAAGACAACAATGTAAGTGTTAAATCTAACTAAATTAAACATTAAGTACAATATTGTGTGAAACAGTTTGTATTTTAGAGGAAAGTCAGATGAGAATAAAATTAGTTTTCTTTTTATTATCATTTCGTAAGTGTTAAGTCGCAAGAAAGAACTATATTTTGGTTTACCAAGAACCACAATCATTGCTTTAATCCAGAAATGATATACAATTCGGATCGTTTCTGATAAGAATATGATTTCATACTGGTGATTGATTGACCACTTCTGTATGTGTTTATACATTGTCTATGTCAATGTGTTTGGTGACCGTCAATCCCGATATTTTCGAATAACTCCAAAATTAAAGGACAGAAGGACTTAAAGATCATTTTTAAAGCTTTTTTACGTTTATCGGCGTGACTTTACAATGAAAAGACTGTAAAACACTAAAACAGACTTGTTAATTACTAATAAATTTGAATGCATAGCAAATGTTTTCAATCCAGTAGTATTATGCATAGAATTTCATAAAACTGAAAAAAAAACACTTTTTAAATACCTCTTCGGGAGAACAAAATAGACTTACACATTTTATACAATAGACTGACTACATGAAAAACATAAATCAACTATAATACTATTGATGATTGTTAGAGTCATAGTGTTGTTGATACTTTGGGTTGAAAATTGTTGAGAAACCTAGACTAATAATAATATAAACATCATAACTGTTGAAGAGTTCCAGAAAACTCCTCGAAGAAAGCCAGGAAAGGCTCTGAAAACACGGAGAAACATCTTATCCAATCAGCGTTTACTAGAAGTTTTGCCAGAAACATCTAGAAGTTGGAAATTCACATTTCGAGTTTCTGATTGGATTATTACTATACCGCTATTATGTTCGGTAGCATTCTAGAATTTTCGGGAAAACCTGAGGACATCTAAAATATTATAAAAACCCTATATTTTCTGTAAATAAATGAACCTTCGGAGTAAAGTTTTTCTTGCATATTTTGAGCCTTTTCTCTCGTGTTCAAGTCGCTGTGTAGTTCTAGTTTGGGGGTTACTAGAAGAGCTTAGAAACCGAATATAGTGTTCGATTAGCAAGACTTATCAATAACTATTAAGCTATTTAATGATTATATGAGCTCAATAGCTCGGTGGATGATAAGTTAGTATATGAACTGAGAGGCACTAGGTTTGAGTTTCAATGTGAACATTGGCACTAGGATCTAAATATATCCAACTGACAATCACTGGCTAGAACGAAACGCGCACCCTAGATTCTAACAATAAATACAATCTATCTATTCTAACCATATTAACTACTGCATGTCAGTGGGAAACTCACTACCGGTTGTTTTTGAAGAAAAATGTATGGTGAAAAAACAACCTGTCTAAAGACTTACTAATTTTTTCTTCAACTTGCATAAGTAACACAATTTGATCACTGGTACTTGCACCTTTTTTACCACGACTTGCCAAAATTTCTGTCATTTTCTTAACTACAACATCAAAATTAATTTCTTGTCCCTTTTCAAAGGCTTGAACTTGAATTTCCGGTCGTCCGTAAGAATCAATTGTAGTCCATGTTCCATCTTCTATATCAGATGAAGCTCTTAATTGTTTTTTAGTTGATCGATCTTTTGCAATTTTCTTAATTTTCGTTTTATCCTAATAAATAATAAGCAGGATAATTCTTAGAGTATTAGTGATGTGATACAATTCAACAAGATTATCGCAAATTAAAATAAAAAATTAGGTTTGAAACAAAGAGTTCCGTGATTCCAGTCAATTTATTACCGAACTGATTGATATAATTAATTTCACTTAAAGCAATCGAATTAAATAAACACCCACAATTTGTTTTCATTTACCACGGGTTTAACTAATCAAACATATAGTGGTTCAATTAATGACATTAAGTAACACTGAGTTATTCATCATAACATTACTATTGGAAAGAGTAGGTTCTTCAGAAGAAAAACGTTCTTAAATTAAGTTATTAGAGTTCGTAATGCTACGCCAGTGTTTATGATCAATGGCCTATTTGATTATCTAATAGCATACGTAGTAACCTAAAGAATATAACCAGGTTCGTTCATATGTATATTTTGCCTGATTCACACTTCAAATAATCACAATGTATGCATATTAGTTGCAAATAAATGAACACTTGATATATGTATTGCGCGCTCTCATGACTTTCTATGATCACATCGTATATGATTCTTTGGTATCAAATTAATTTGCCTAAGACCACATGTAATGCCAGCAACTTACGAATCATATAAATTACAACATTAAAAACCAAAACTCCAATACAATAAAAAGGATAAATGTATTGAAAAGGGTATTTAAAATATCTACTTGAAACCATCATCTTACCTTTTTATCATCCGAAGTACTTTTTAAAAAGTATACCGAAGGATCTTTACAACGATCCAAATTGATATCAATACTGCTAGTACTTGAACTATCATCATCAGAAAAATCATCACTATCACTATCATCCATATCATCGTCATCATCCTCTGAATCAGATGCAATCGACTTTCGTGTTGATTTCTTGACAGTGGAAGTAGGTAAAGTTCCAGGAACCTAGTAAAGAAAAAATGATAGCAGCAAATAAAACAAAATAGGCAACCTGATACGATCTGAGTGCTTAGAACACTAAATCATTGATTTACAATGATAGTTTGGGGAAAAACTGAAAATATACTTGCCTTTATCGGTGAAGGAGCTGTTTCCTGTTCATCAGCTTCGGTATCTGAAGCATAAAAATAAGTGAACTACGTCAAAAAAAACGATGAAAATACCAGAAATCCCAGGTTCTTCATCTACATAATTTTCTGAATTCTGAACATATATAGCATGAGTTTTATAATAAATAAACCTACTTCACGAAAGTCGCGAATATTTGCTTCAAATAGTCGTGTATATTTCTTCACACGTTGTTTTAACGTGGCAAGTGATTTAACTGCACTCTTGTTCATCTCTTTTTTCTTTTCCCACGAATCGTTAACAAAATCTTCAAGCTCTGCTATGCAGCGAACATAAAACGGTGGCACTCCATCGAAATCATTCATTTGAACAGATTTCTCGTACACTTTTACCAAGTTTTGAAAATCTGTATTCATTTAGATCAAAAAGCGTTTAAATATATCATTCTTTTTATATACCAATGATTACATTTGACATATCCTTAATTTTCTTATGATTGTTCAAGTTCTTTATTATACTTTGCATTTCTTCACATCTGTGGATTGGTTCACATTAAAAACAACTAGTGTATTTACATACCGTTTATTCCGACCACTTTTAACAATACGTTTAATATCTTCTTCATCACTAGACAAATGTAAAGGGCGTGACTCGATACGTCTGACTGGCTCCTCTTCCCGATCACTATCAGAAGAACTGAATATATCTGCATACATTCTTCAAACTACATACATAGGGAGTAGAGAAATAGTGTAAATAATTTGATTAAGTAGTAAGTTAGTGAGTAAAATTCGAACAGAATAAAACTAAAACCCAATAATGCAATTCAGTATCATGTATAGTGTTGAGTCACAACTATTGTCACTTGTTCGCAGTCTAACCAACACAAAATAAAGTGAGTCCTATTAAAATACTATCCGAAATCCTACAAAGTACTATGGATCGATACTAATTTATTGTAAACTAATTAAAAGTACAGTTATTTTGCTAGCAAAGACACAAGAACTTGAGTAGAGCTTTTACCAATCAAGTCTAACAAACACACTGATTAACGTCTAAAGCTATGTCTAGGCAACCGTTAGTTTCTAATAAGTACCGACTTCAGGTACAAAGAGAGCCACTATTTGACCTGGGGACTTCTAGCATCTAGATAAAGGGGGGTATAATCCACAGTGCTATCAGCCCTTGATGAACATAGTCAAGAATTAGCCGTCGTTGCACCTTGATCTCAACTCTGCGACTAACTTGGTTCACCATCTGGACCAAAGATTATATCAACCTGTTGAAGGTTCTGTATTCAAATACTTTTGGTTGTATCAGATCATATGGTAAATTGACATTTGAGTTGATTTTGTCGGCTATTGTTTGGCGGATTTTTTTTATTATCTATTCTTTTATTTAATAGTTACCATAGATATCCTCCTTCTTACTCTTATGGTCTGCTTTCAAACCATAGAAAAATGGCAGTAATGTTTGAAGCTGAAAAACCTGTTTTTAAACACAAAACTGACTAGACAAAAATGTCCGAAATATGTTCAAGTGAAAAAAGTAAATCTAGTAAAGTGACATTATACTGATTTCGACAAAGGGATCAAAAAAGTTAATGGCGTTAACCAACGTTTGTCATGAGAGTATAATCAGCGCTGGTAAACTAGTGGTAGACAAAATTTAAAACAATTAGTCCCTTTGATAAATTTCGATAATGCAACAAGACAAAGGTTATCAGAATTGTGATATATTTGCGCAATACATTTCGAACAATCTGATTATACATATACTTGTTAAGAACATTTATATATGAGAGTTCATCATTTGTGTGTGGACTATGATACTGCCTGGGTGCCCAGATCGAAACAGGTGATTTTTTCAGGGGACCACACCCCGAGCCTTTGATCTAAATGTCTAACCCACAAAGCAGTGGAGCATCGTGAGAAGATGCATTCCCATGGAAGCCGGTGACCAACGATTGGTTCATACGCCATTTGTTTCCGCAGGATACTGGAGCCCATGTGCACCATTGGTTTGTGATCCGGTTAAAGCGCCGGACATTCGCTTTTCGTCCTCTCATTTTCGTAAACAACACCCCTGTCACGAGAAGGCAATGAGTAGAACTTCCCTGGCAGAGGCTGTATACGCGCGGCCGTGTGAGAGTATTTCGAGAGGGAGAGCGGACTCTCTCCACACTCGGCCATACCAGGACATTCGGGGACCTACCTGCAATCTTGAGGGCACTGGTGCTCCCTGGCGGATTCGATCTCGTATCACATTTGTTGTTTACAAAGGTTTGGGAACTAGAGAGTGTACCAACGTCATGGAATGAGTCGATAGTTGTCCCTAACTTTAAAAAGGGTTCACGTCGTTCCTGTAACAACTATCGGGGGATAAGTCTACTTCCAATTGCGTCCAAGCTATTGGCTTCCGTCATTCTTCGTAGGTTGTTCAAAACCCGAGAAAGATTGACTCGCGGGGAGCAGGCCGGGTTTCGTTCTGGTCGAGGATGTATTGATCATATCTTCACCCTCAGCCAAATGTTAGAACACCGTCATACTTATCAAAGGCCAACAATCGTAGTGTTTCTTGACATCAGGGCTGCCTTCGATTCGTTGGACAGGACTGTTCTCTGGGATTGTCTAGTGAAGAAGGGTGTGCCTGAGAAGTTTATTAACATCCTAAAAGCCCTATATAAAAACACCTCAGGCAGAGTGAGGGCATACAACCACCTCTTTCCATTGTTCCATTCGAGCAGTGGGGTTAGGCAGGGTTGCCCAATCTCACCATTCCTCTTCAACTTTGCCATCGATGACATTCTGGAAACAGCTCTGATGAATGTAAGTAATGGTGGTGTGGATCTGTTGCCTGGAGAAAGACTTCTCGACCTTGAGTATGCCGACGATATTGTCTTACTGTGCGATAATGCCCAAGCCATGCAATCCGCACTTAATCAGTTGGCAATCAGTGTCCGTAGGTATGGTATGTGCTTTGCACCTTCGAAGTGCAAAGTACTTCTACAAGACTGGCAGGATTCTAATCCTGTACTCACCCTGGACGGTGAACAGATAGACGTAGTCGAGAAGTTCGTGTATCTGGGTAGCTGCATAAGTGCTGGTGGGGGTGTGAGTGATGAGATCAATGCACGAATAGTGAAAGCCAGAACGGCTTATGCCAATCTGGGCCACCTTTGGCGCTTTCGTGATGTAAGTCTGGCTGTAAAAGGTCGGATCTACAACGCGTCGGTGAGAGCAGTTCTGCTCTATGCTTGTGAAACCTGGTCTCTCCGAGTTGATGACGTTAGACGACTCTCTGTGTTCGATCATCGCTGTCTCCGAAGGATTGCTGACATCCAGTGGCAGCACCATGTCAGTAACGCAGAGGTTCGGCATCGTGTGTTCGGGCACAAAGATGATAATGCAATTGGTGTCACCATCTTGAAACACCGACTTCGGTGGCTTGGACATGTTCTACGTATGTCGTCCCAGAGAATTCCACGTCGTGCAGTCAGTCAGTCAGCTACAACGTAGGACCAGGCACATATGTGCATCGGTCCAGGTTGCCATACCTCATTAACACAACAAGATGGACACCGGATTCATAGGAGTGGTTAGGTCAAAGGTTGCAATAAGGATATAGTATAGGAAAGAATTAGTTCGTAGAAAGAAAGATATGAAGTGGTTTTAATCTCTAAGTTTAAGTAAAGACAGACAGTGTATACACCTACGCCATTGTGATCGATTCTGAGCCATGTCGCTAAGAGTCTCCAACCATTGGTTACGAAAGTCACGCGGACCCCAACCAAGTAGTCGGCATCTACAAACATGGCTCAGACTAGAAGATAGTGACTTCAGGCACTGATGCCACGTTTCGGTTTGGCCGCCCCTAACTTTCTTCCAACCATCCCCAACACCGGTTAGCATTGCACGTCGTGGTAATCGGTGTTCAGGCATACGTAACACGTGGCCCAACCATCTCAGTCGATGAAGATTCATAACCTCATCAACTGATTTACCATCATTCCCTAATACCCTGCGTCTAACCTCACTATTACTTACCCGGTGATCCCAGCAGATGCCAGCAATATTTCTAAGGCATCTGTGGTCAAATACCAGTAGCTTACGAGTGTCTTCTACTCTTGATGGCCATGTTTCGCTGCCGTAAAGTAAAACAGAACGAACTGCCGCGCAGTATACTCGTCCTTTTATTGATAGACGGATATCTCGCCTTCGCCACATTTGGTGACGTAAGTTGGCAAAGCCAAACGAGTTTTCGGATCAGTGCAGAAATTTCGTCCGGCACTAACTCAATACGGCTGACCAGGCTTCCAAGATAAGTGAAGTTGTCAACGCGTTCGACTACTTCACTCCCTATCCTTAGTTCAGGTGTTGACGCAGACCAGTCCTGAAGCAACAGCTTGCATTTAGAGGGAGAGAAGCGCATTCCAAACATCCTGGCATTGTTGCTCAGTGCTACCAGAAGACTCTGCATTTTGTCAGCGTCTTCACCAAACAGGACTATGTCATCTGCGTATTCTAAGTCGATAAGTGGACCTCCTGGAAGGAGATCAATACCCGAGAATTCAATAGACGAGAATGTTATTTCCATCAATAGGTCTATGATGAAGTTAAACAAAAATGGAGAAAGTGGACAGCCTTGACGGACACCACTTGAGGTTGCAAAAGTAGATGACAGTTCGCCATAAGCTCTGACTCCATTAGTAGTGTTCGAGTAAAGAGCCTTTACAAGGTTTATGTACTTCTGGGGTACGCCTTTCAATGACAGACACTGCCACAGAATCTCGCGGTCTACCGAGTCAAATGCTACCTTTAGGTCAAGAAAGACCACCATTGTCGGACGTCGATAAGTATGCCTGTGTTTTAGAATCTGACGAATGGTGAATATGTGGTCGATGCAGCCACGACCAGGTTTGAAGCCAGCTTGGTTCTCTCGTGTTTGCAGTTCACGAGTCTTAGTTAGGCGTTTGATAATTATCGAGGCCAGTATTTTAGATACTATGTTTGTTAAACTAATCCCTCTGTGGTTGTCACAGGATGATTTTGACCCTTTCTTATATATTAGGATGATAAATGATTGTGACCAGTCAGATGGAATAACGTCTAATTCCCAGATCTTAGCTAAAATATTAGTCAACCTAATCGCTAAAATTGGGCCACCATCCTTAAAGACCTCTGGAGCCAATCCATCTGGACCAGCTGCCCTTCCTCGTTTCAGATTAACTATAGCCTTTTGAACTTCAGCAAGAGTTGGGGGACCTACTTCAATGTTCCATTCACACTGTCTGGGAATGGAGGGTAGTTGTAGAGTAGCTGAAGGCCAGCTGAACTGTTCTCTAAAATGTTCCGCCTATCGTTCTAAACGTCTGGACTGGGAGCAGATGAGTGTATCGTCTTTTTCCGATATAATCTCACTTACACTTGACTTATTAATTCCAGTTTCTTTTATTAGTCTGTAAAGCTGTCTTGTGTTCCCTATAGTCGCCGCCTTTTCCATCCCTTTTGCTTTCGTTGCCCACCACTGCTCACGGTCGTTTCTTAGACTTTTTCTTAACCTAGATCTGATTTGTTTACGCTCTTCATCATGTTCAGAACCTGATGGGATGAGTTTGCGAGAATCCATCAGTGTGATAGACTTTGAAGAAATCCACTGGTTCTTTGAAACTCTGTGGTTTAAGTCGCTAATAGATGTCACTGCTGTTTCCACAGCTGCTTGTATTTCATTCCAAGCAACATCTGGGTCAGCCTCATCTTCACAACTACCTAAGTGTGACCTCAGTTGTTCCTGGAACCTACTTTTGGTTTTCTCGTTACTCAACTCAGTTCTATCGGGTCTTTTTAATGTGGTTTTTTTGCGTCCAGTGAGGCGCAAGCAGATGCGGGCCCCTATTAGGGCATGGTCGGAGTCCAAGCAGGTACTTCTACCGACCCTCTCCAACGATGACTAATGGCAATATGGTCTATTTGAGTCCATCGTTGGTTTGGTGCCGGCGGTCGCCACGTTAGACGATGTCTCTCCTTATGCCCTCATGCTTAGTGCTATGCCTACACCTGCCAGTCCACGAGAACTGGCCATAGGGTCGCCAGATACACGGAGGGTGTATCTCGTTGGCTCTCCGTTTTGCCGAGGTGAGGTCAAGTGAATGACCACACTGGAATCCTGTATGCGTGTTTCGGAGACACAGCATACATCAATGGAAAGAGACTCTAGGGTTTTAGCCAAGGAAGCCTGCTGACCGATTTGACATAGAGTGCGTACGTTGAAAGCTCCAATGTGTAGTTTGGAGCGAGGTTTCAGTAGACCTGGGACAGAGTTGGTAGGTGCAAACTAATTGGTTACAGTCCGCGCGACTATCGTAACCAATGGTTGGAGACTCTGGATGACATGGCTCAGGAATGATCACGGTGACGTTGGTGTTTGCAACGACTTCCCTAAAAATCGTGAGATTGAAATTACTTTATACCTTTCTTTTAATGGTAGTCTAGCCTAGAATGACTCGTGAATTCAACTTTAAAAATATGTAAAAAGGTGTTTGTCAAGCTAAGTTTTGACTAATTCTGGCTTGTACTTGGGAGACCTGATAAAATATTATTAGAATTGTCCTAATTTTACTTATCAGCACTTTTAAAAAATGGAAATTTTCAAAAGATTGATAGTGTTTCAGACTTAGAAGATGAAGTAAATACGCATATACCATATGATCAAGATTCAGTTTTGTTTGTCATTACGAGCTCTATATAGGAAGCGTAACCCTTCTCACACGTTTGGGCAGCCAGTGATTTCATGGACTGATATTACCTCATGGTTAGACCAGTCTCAGATTTTTTCTGTTTGATGGCAATAAGACACTACACTAAATTTGGAAGAGTTATGAGTACAATAAAAAATATAACAGGCAAAAGCAACCTAAAAAACACATCACACAAAATAAGATATTTTTCTTGTTACTATTTTATGGGGACTTATTGTTATGAAACCTCATTCATCCAGGTTCACTCAATGTGGTTCCCCCTGAGGATAAGGTAATTAAAATTACACACAACGCTATCAAAACACTACTTGTAGACGGACAGTGTTTACCATTAACTGGTCGTGAAGTAAGCTACCTGGGAGAACTAAAAACATAAGCTCCACTGGTAAACATTTATACGGGCAAGCTATGTGACCAGAGCTAACCGAGTACCGATGTTACCTTTGAAGGCTGAAGATGAGCACTTTGACAATATGCTATGCTCTGATTGTTGTGTTATGGTGGTTTGCTCTTTAGGCTATAAAAGCCACACGGAATTTTTATTAAAATCTATGAGCTTTCAAAATTAGATAATGTATATGAAGCAATACTCCCCCAAAAGTAATTCACCGTTAGCAGCTGATTGATCTGTAGAAACTAAGAAATCATGTTACGTCAAACTAATTATCACAGGTGTTCGATTATTTAATACATTTCTGTGAGGACTAAAACCTACCTCGTGGATGTACCGCGAAAACCGAAAGTGGTTGGGTAACTCTCTCAATGTCCAATACTATCACGATCCGAATCAGTTGAAGAAATTTCTGTCCGGTACTTTTGCTTTGGTTCATCTCAAACGATACAGCACTGACGCAGAGAGGTAAGTTGTATTACGAATCCAGATTTTGCTTTGCTGCAAGAGATCTATTGTATGTTTTATTGAGTGCTTGTTTGAAACTCGAACTGTCGCACCTTTTCGTTTGTAGCTCTCATCCTTTGATTTTTGAACACTCGTGCAGCTGAATTAGACTGGGTGGTTCTTGCATGCTTGTAAAGCACTTCTCAACCATTTCAAGTGTTTGGTCATTTATTATTTCTGTTTCAAATTATCATCCAATTAGCCCTTAGCAATACTAGTAGATAAGTGGATTATTTAGCCAATTCCAAGGAGTTTGAAATTACTATAAAGACACAAAATTAAAACTCTCAATAAAAACCGAAAAACTGTATGTGAAATGTTCAGTAAGTGAGGGCATATCAGGTGCGAACTTATCACTAAGCAATTTGAAAGCTGTAATCAAGTCACCTCTAGTTCTTCGATGTGACAATAGGAATAGTTTTAGCTTGGCCAGTCGAGCACCATACGGGAGCTTCGCTATTCCGGTAATCAGCTTGGTTGCTGTTCTCTGAACCTCTCCCAAAAGCACACTTTTTTTAAGCAAGGGCTAGCCGCTTATATCCAGTACCCAAGTTTATGACTCACGAACACTGTGCGCAAGTGAAAAAAGGCTTTGGCGCCGACGTGACTGAAACCCTACGTATTACCATAAAGTTCTAAAACCTTTCATGACTATTGCACAGCAGTGTGCAGTAGTCTTTATTCTTGGCTAACAATGACCCCTAAGTTATTGTGTGTCTGGACAATAGGTAGCTCATCATGCATGTATCTGTACCTTGATGACCAATATGCGTCACAATACACTGAAGTATTTATCGGCAACTGCCAGGTTCAAGACCATTCACATAATTTCTCCAGATCATTTTGTGGTTTTAAGCTATCACCTTTACTTCTTATAGCTCTCCATGTCTTGATATCGTCAACATATAACAAGACCGATGATGATAGGAGGAAGGTCATTTAAAAACAGGAGGAATAACACCGGCCCCAAAACTATACCCTGGAGCACTCCACTAATAAGCATAGTTTCCCAGTTAGACAACTTGGAATTCACCTGTACTCTTTGTTGGTGCCCAACTAGGAAGTCTTTTTATCCACACCAATAGATTGCCTCCAACCCTGGCATTTCTTAACTTATATAACAGCTGGTTGTGCGGAACTTTGTCAAAAGCTTTGCTGAAGCCAATGTGGGCTAAGTCTGCAGGTAACTTTTGGTCCTTAAGAGCGCACCAGTTTCATGAGCCACTAATAAGTTAGTGAGACAAAAATAACCTATTCTGAAACCATGCTGCTTCTCCGAAAGGATCCGGTCCTCATCGAAGTACTTAAACAGCTCCTTTCAAATAATCTTTTCTAGGATTTTAACAAACACACTAGTCAGGCTAACGGGTTGGTAGGTCTCAGGTTTACGTTTCGTAACTATTTTGAAGACAAGACTTACTATGGCGTTCATTCTTTCGGTCAAAGTTTCATTATCTATTAACCGAGTAGTTGAATATTAGTTTATTCTGAAGATATCTGAAGCTTATCTTAATAAACGGGAATGCTGGAACTGCTAGCTGTCACTGCGCTGAACAAGAGCTTAATTGCAACCAGGTTTCAGGTTGTATGACCAGTATAAGACTGAAGAAAGTGGAAAAAGTGTTCAGCAGGGCTAAAGTTACTAGATATATCGAAATAGGGAAAATCGCTTGACATAATAATAGCGCGAACTTTGAAAGTGGTAACATTTTTTTCACGTGGTTTAGGAATTCTTCGACTTGCTCTTTTGTAGGGTGTATTACACTGTGATTATCATCCTATCCTGTACATCGGGAACATCTCACCTCGAAACATAAGAAAAAAACTTATTTTTATTCGACGGACAATTACCAGTTCGTATTGTACCTATTGCGGACTTAAGTCGTAAATAGGTCTGCAATTTATTATATACTCACAGTCTCTAATCCTAGTATTAACCAGGTTAATACTTAATAACAACTAATACTCAGATATTATATTTAATTTAACGAGCAGTGTGCTCACTTATTTTCATATCATGTCCAATAACTCCAGTAAAAGAGGAATTTCACCAACTTCTAAGCCAAATAAAAGGTCCAAATCTGTAACCCCTACAACTGACGACTCAGTGCTTGACAATGTCGAACCTTTAACTACTGAAAAATATGTGTATTGTACACAAATGTCTCTATCGTCACCAGATTCTCCATGTCGCAGCCCCTCTATCTTTACGTGCAGTATGCCAATGGTAAGACTGGTTGACATACAAGACACTATACCTACGTGCATTGAAAAGTCAGCACAGTCTACTAGACAGTATGTGCTACCAAGGCCTAAGTCTAAAATTTCAAAAACTAAAGAGTCCAACGGTCCACCTCATACGCACCAAAATACTGATAGTTATAGTAATGACATCCGACAGCTACAAAACTCTCTATCCGAAATTAACGGCAAACTTGAGCAATTAGCACCCCTCACTCATATATGGGGCCTTGATACAGACAGAAATCTTGAGCAACTCACTAAAGCTGAGTGTATTTTGGAGTTTGTGGCTGAAGAAGTGACGAAGAGAGTAATGTCCTCCTTCAATGCAGTTGTGTATAACCTCCCCGACCGCACACACCCATCTAAGTTAAGGGATATTTGCCTTAGAGCATGCGGTATGCCGAACGTTAACTGCAAAGTCATCCGCCTTAGAAAAAAGTCAGACAGATCAACTTGCCCCCTCTTGTTTATGTTTGGCTGTTGTAACGATGCTAAGCAGTTTATTGATTTGAGCAAAAACATTAGCTCACTAATTCCATACAAGAATATAAAAGTTACTCCAGACCTTACGCCCTGTCAACGTCGTGTAAGAAGACGCGAAGCGATAGAATTGAATGGGAGTGTTACAGTTAATAATCAGCCAGAGACAGTTTGCAACCCAGCAAATAGTTTAAAACACACGAACAATAAGCACGACACCACTCTACATACGGCTGATCACTCTGTTGATCTAGATGAGTCTACAGATCAGAAACCTTTGGATAAGATACGGACCCCAACTGACACCAAAAACCATAACGACATGACTAATCCCAGCTGTTCGTTCAGTAATGTACTAAAATGTGAGTCGTGTCACAACACACATCCAACTAAACCTATATACTTGAAAATTTGTCCTCCTAAAGATATTACACAAGTAGACTTGAATGAACGTAAGTTCATCTCACAGAGACAACGAAAGACTCCAGCTCTGAAAATAAAGGGTGGGAAGACAAAACTCATGATACCAAATAGGGAAACACATAAGATTGAACCCAGCCGCTCTATAGGTATCCCAAGAACAGTGAACAGGTTCTCCCCGCTGCTATCGTGTAACTTGCCTTCAACACCTCTAAGTTGCAAAACGGGTGGTGGGCTTCAGCGTAGCAAGCCCTCTTACATGCCGACTAACGAAAACTACCAGAGAACTGGCCACCCAAACCACCCCCTGAAGCCTAAAACCATAAATAAGAATGGTAATAATAGGTTTCTCACTCCACACCCTACCTACATTCCCCAGGATCGCAACTGTAATTACTCTCAAAAAGAAAACTTCTCATACCCTTTAGTACCGACCCATGACATAACAACGGCTCCCATGTATAACGACAGTCGCAACTCCTCCCAGTTACGCGTAGCAGACCCCTCTCGCGCTAACGTAAATAGCCATAACAGGAACTACGAGTCTAACAATCAAGACTATTTTGTAAATAACCATACACTTCACAGTAGGCCTGTACAATACTTTTTTGGAATAAGACCCCTAGTGACACCTCTGTTGAAGCATATAGCCCAGGTTATTTCAAACCACATGCAAACCATAAATTTGTTTCCTCCGTACAGTTTCCATCACAGAGTACTCCCACCCTTTCCTCCTGGGTAAACTCCCCAATCAACTTCACCAGCTCATTTGATACATCTCCCAATAAGTTTAACTATCAAATTACCGAGCTAATGAAGAACATCCAATCCCTCACATCAAACTTATCTTACACTCGCGAGGGTTACGACGACTTTATCCGAAATACCCTCACCCATTTTAACTTAGTAGGCCACTTGCTTAATATATGTCTTATCAACGCTCGATCGATCTGCAACAAAAAGACGGATTTAGCCCTGTTTGTATCCATATATCAACCATCAGTTATTATGATATCTGAAGCATGGACTAACAGTAATATTTCCGACCGAAGCATATCTCTAGATAACTATTCCCTATATAGAAGCGATAGATTGAATGGACGAGGCGGAGGATGCCTTATTTACGCTCACTCTAGCCTGAACTCACTGCTATGTAATATGCCTGAACTAAACAAACTGAAGGATTCGGTGTGGATTGTATTAAAGCCGTCGAATTCCGTTACCTTACTGCTCGGCTGTGTTTATCGTCAACCTAACGCATCAATAGATGAAATAGCAGTATTATCGGAGGTATTCACACTAGCATCATCCCTCTCATTCACAGGCAAGCTCATTTGTGGTGACTTCAATATGCCCGAAATTTCTTGGCTGCCAGTCAAAGCGCCGAGACGTTATGAATCATTTATTGAATGTCTAGAGCTTGGACAATGGACTCAGTATGTCGATAGCCCTACCAGACATCAAAACATCTTAGACTTAGTCTTTACCAGTGGCCTCATCCCCAATACTTTGTATATTGGAAAAAAGTTCCCAGGTAGTGATCATAACATTGTCATATGCAGCCTTAATGTAAAAACCACAACCGATAGAAGTAAAACCGTAACACTTCGTAGAAACTATCGCAAGGTTGATTGGAATAACTTCCACAATTACCTAAGAAGCACTGATTGGAGAACTTTCTTTACCTCAAACAATACCGACA